GTCTGCCTTCAGGGCGCCTGGGTGGCTCAGTTGGTTAAGCGACTGCCTTCGGCTCAGGTCATGATCCTGGAGTCCCTGGATCGAGTCCCGCATCAGGCTCCCTGCTCAGCAGGGAGCCTGCTTCTGCCTCTGACCCTCCCCCCTCTCATGTGCTCTCTCTTTCTCATTCTCTCTGTCTCAAATAAATAAATAAAATCTTTAAAAAAAAAAAAAAGCGTCTGCCTTCAGATCAGGTCATGATCCCAGGGTCCTAGGATCGAGTCCCACATTGGGCTCCCTGCTCAGCAAGGAGCCTGCTTCTCCCTCTCCCTCTGCCTGCCACTCCCCCTGTTTGTGTTCTCTCTCTCTCTCTCTGACAAATAAATAAATAAAATCTTAAAAAAAAAAAAAAAGGAAAGAAAGCCTTTGTGAATGCCCTCCCTTACACCACAGGAAACATTGGATGGGCTTAATTTGTGTCGGCATACCATTTCTTTGTTCCAAATTGTTCATCATCCAGAAGACGGGATAAATGATGCTATTCAGTAAATGGTGAGTTTCTTTCTCGGGAGCTAGCACACCTCAAGCCTGGCTCCCGCTCTCAGGGGCGATGAAATGATGTGATGGGGAGAGACCAAGCCGCCTCCGTTCACAGAATGCTAGAGTTGGCTGCTGAGAAATGACTGATAAAGCAAACCACTCAAATGGAACGGGAGAGGAAATACACACAGGGCAGGATTTTTTTTTTTTTAAGTATCAGAAAATCCCCATACTCTATTGATAGTTCTATAAAACATTTTTTAAAACAAATTGTTTCCTTTCCCACATTTACTTATACACGTTGTAGATATTTAGTATCAACCTCTAAGTAAAAGAAACTAGATGGGTCTCTCCACGCCATCCCCTACCTGATCACACTGCTATCGGATTCAAGCAGGTCTCATCAGAACCGTGTTTATATTCCTTTCGGTTAGCCCACCACACATGAGAAGCCTGGACATACACTAACATTCTCCTTGGACATTCACTCAACAACTACTTACTGAGTGCCCACTGTAGGCCAAACAGCATTTAGGTGTTGTAGATTCAGCGGTAATAATAATAATAATAATAATAAAATGCCTGCTTTTCATGAGGCTTACAGTCTAGTTGAGGGGATAAACGATTAACAAATAAATATATAATATATAAGATGCTTAAAAGGAAAATGAAGTATGCTAGCAGGCACAGAGGAATGGGGTGGCTGCTCTTTTACATGGGTCAGGAGAGGCTGCTTTGAAAAGGTAACCTGGGAAGTCCTACTTAAGGAGGCTGAGAAGCTTAAGAAAGAAATATAGATCATTGCCTCCATGCATATATTTAGAGAAGGGGGAGAGGGAGGGGCAGAGGGAGAGAGAGAATCTTAAGCAGGTTCCATGCCCAACGCAAAGCCCGATGCGGGGCTCAATCTCACGACCCTGAGATCATGACCTGAGCTGAAATCAAGAGTTGGATGCTTAACTGACCGAGCCACCCAGGCACCCCTATGCTAAGCAATATTTGAATGTGGAGGTAGACGGTTTTTAAAAACTTAATTTCAAAAGCGGCTCATATTTAATTTTCAAAAAGACCAATGGGTGGGCCCTAATTTTTTTTTTTTTAAGATTTTATTTATTTGACAGAGAGAGACACAGTGAGAGAGGGAACACAAGCAGGGAGTGTGGGAAAGAGAGAAGCAGAATTCCTGCGGAGCAGGAAGCCCGAGGCGGGGCTCGATCCCAGGACCCTGGGATCATGACCTGAGCCGAAGGCAGACGCTTAACGACTGAGCCACCCAGGCGCCCCAGGTGGACCCGAAATTTAAATGACTAAAACTATATTCTTAGAAAGCACTCAAATGAATACCTTTGAGTTGCCATGCTATCCAGGAGGGTGCGTATCACAACGGTGATAGACATAACATATATATAAGCATAAGACTGCACTCAATATTTTATTTTTTTTTTTAAGATTTTATTTATTTATTTGAGAGAGAGAATGAGAGACAGAAAGCACGAGAGGGAAGAGGGTCAGAGGGAGAAAGCAGACCCCCCGCTGAGGAGGGAGCCCGATGCGGGACTCGATCCCGAGACTCCAGGATCATGACCTGAGCCAAAGGCAGTCGCTTAACCAACTGAGCCACCCAGGTGCCCTGCACTCAATATTTTAAAAGCAGTTGTAGTAAATTGAACTTGTGCCAAATCATTGACTTTTAGAAGACAAACGGGCTAAAATGAAGGTCCGACCTGCCTCATCCAAGCTGGCACACTCTGCAATGTGACACATCGAGCAAGGAGAACCACCAGAGGTCACTTAACTCAATGTTCTCATGTTACTCCTCATAAATCGCGTCCATGGAGCTTTAGGGGTTCCCAGTTTCCAAGATTAAGTGCAACATCATGTGCAAAACCCAGGTCTCCTGACTCGTAGGTAAAATTTCATTACCACCCTTTTCATCTCATCTGCTAGAATGCTGGTGGCATATCGGAGAGGTAGCTAACAGGGACCGGCAGAGGGGTCCCGCAGAGGCAGGAAGTTTGGGGTGCAGTCTGCGAAGAATGCTGAGGACAGAAGCCGCTCATTCCAAGGGCTGCTAGGATGGTTACTCAAATATTTATATATCCACATTCCTACCCATTGGCAAGCACACGTTCTTTGAAAATCTCCTGCTTTCCCTATCATCATGGCACTGGCTTTGGGACACGAAGGACACCGAAGTATGAACTCAATGTAAAAATGCACCAAGATCCCAAAAGATTACTAATGACTAAGATTACTAATTTCACAACTTGCTGAGAAAATCGGGACCCTCCCGCCCCCCCACCAAGCAAATGCAATTTGCAAGAGGAAGTCCTCAGCACTGAAGAAGTTCACTAGAATTTCGTATTTTCTTCCTTTCTCTCAACACACTCCATTTACAGAAGGATTTTAAAATTACTTTAGCGGGCCATGTGGCACCTTAAAGTTTATACTTCAGAATTTCTTTGAAAACCTCATTTAATGTTTGGGGTTTGACTGGGCATCACATGAGCATTTCAAAGCAATGGTTTAAAAAAAAAAAAAACCACCAGATTTGAAACAAAAGTTATTTTGATTACAGTATCTGCATTATTCATTTAGATGTAACCTGAAACCTAAAGCACTTTTCCATAAGACACTTGTTTCCTAGGATAAAAATGCTTTAAAAAACATCACCAGAAAAAGAGAAATCACCAGAAGTGTATTCTAACAGCCATCTGATTGGGAAAATAATTTCTAGTAAAATATACTGCTACTCTAGGACCCAAATTATTCCTTAATAGTGACAGAACCTTTTACAACAAGAGAGATTATTTTTTAGTAAGCATTAAAGTGCCTTACTTATGGGGGCACTGTACTGTGCCCCTTATGGGGGACCTCAAACCAAGATGTTAACTGATCAATTCACAGGTTATTTGTTGTGCATACCGATTTACAAAATAAAAAGTAACATATAGACTTAACAAAATAACACTTGATGGGGGTTAGTGACTTGTCAAAGTTGCAGATTTCTTGACCTCAACCGTAGGACCAGGAACAGAATTCAGGTCTGCTGATTCCAGCTGCTGTATGCACATTTCCACTGGACCCAATGGGATCATATGCACAAAATGGAAACACATTAAAACACCAGTGTTTCCCACCATTTACTATGAGGCACTGGGAGATTCTAAATTTAATAAGCTTATTTTAATATGACTATTTAACCCTGAGGAAATATGGATAAAGATGCATATTTTAATACAAATTTTTAGAAAACCACAACATCAAAAAATATTCAGTGGAAATTTTTCTTTTCAGCATTAATGCTTGTTCTCCCTGATATATGCCCTCATATTGATGCACCTTGCTCTTTCAAAATTATTTGTACAACTGGAAAAATATAAGTTAAAAATCCCTGGAGAAGTTTCCTGACTGAATTGTTAAGAAGTTAAGAACTTATTATTTAAAATTTTATATAATATATATAAAAATATATATAATACATATTTATATACACACAAATATATGTACTTGTGTATATATAATATATGCACAAATATACACTATATATTAAATATGTAAATGTACGCACGCATTTACACACACACGCACACGCACACACACATACCCCAAGTCCTAGTCAAAGTTGGTTCTTACTTTTCTAAAACTTGAAGACAATACACTCATGGCCCATCCTGGGTTTCCCGCAGCTGTACTCTTTCCGGATCAAAACCTTACAAACTTTTTTTTTTTTGGACACAATCTAGCAATGAGGTTAAAATCTCCAGTAAGCAACAGAGTTGGTCCGATTCCTAAATTCTGTGGCAGATAAGCTCCTGGCAACCCAGAGTGCGCTCCATCTCTTCAACTACTTGATACCAAAGTTCCTCATGAAAAGCAACCTGCAGCTGATACTTTACTGATCCCAAAGCCTTGACCTTGCAACCTGATAAAAAACAGTAAGTCCTCCAGTTTTGAATAAGACAAGCACCCAAAGTAATTGACTATATTTGCATACCTCAGATTTTTGAAAGCCAGGGAAAAAAAATTCATTCCAAGAACAAACCAACCGACGACAACAACAACAACAACAACAAACTTCACATAAATAAAAATATTTGCTGGGTGCCAATTCTCGTTGCTAATCCTTCGCCCGGAGAATTTTACCCACTACCCCCCAAACCTAAATGAACTTCGACAGCCCAGTTGAAAGAGTCTGCTCTACCCTGGGTACTGTGTCAGTGTCCCAGGAGACGAGTGCTCTAACAGTGAAAAGAATCACTGTCTTCCACTCTTTTCTACCAGAAGTAGATAATGAGCAGTGCCCCACGAAGGCAAGTTCACGGCAGATAAAAACAGAATCTCTCCTCTAAAAAAAGAAATTAATTGGACGATCACTTAGAACTCATGCGAATGCCCCTTCATCGCCCTGGCTCGGTGACATGCCATGATTCACAGATCCTTGCAAGGCAAGCCGCCGCAGATGCTGCTCGTTAACTTACGACATTCACTGCGCGCTGTTCGCAGGTAGCCCTGGCTTAGCCTTCACCATGGAGACTTCCCACAAGAAGCTGGAGCGCTCCTGGGCTCAGGCGTGTTCTTTCTTCCTTCCAGAGGAGTGAGAAATCCCTAGCGCGGGAATCGGAGAGAAGAAAAAGGAAAAGGTAAATGCCTCATCCAATCACTCTGTTATCTCAACAAATGAAGTCTCACGGATTTGAGAACTCGCCAAAGACCATTTTCCAGCACCCTTTCCTAAAAAAAAAAAGGAATGTAGTATTTTTGCTCCCGCCCCAGGAGACACGGCGTCGCCCGGTCAGCCTTTCCCCTGCACCCCCGTCCCTCCCCACCCTTCCCCCCCCCACTCCCCACACACCCATAAAGTTGAAGCCAATTCTGGGGGACTCCTGATGTAATCCCAGCTGAGATGTCAACTCGCAACACGGTCTCATAACACGCCACCTGATTTTACTCTCTGCAAAAGGGAGGGAGCTGGACGATCACCTCTTGCCATTTTCATACCTCACTGGGTTGTTGGGAAGATCAATAAGATCACTCTTGCAAAGTACTCACAGTTCCCGAGAAGAAAGGCACTATGTAAACGCCAAGTATTATTAGTGGTCATAAGCCTGTTACTGAGCTCTGAGCCAGAATTTAAAAGCCAGCTTTGGCTAGCCACCAACCGTCCACTCTCCCTGGGGCACCCAAACGTGCAAAAAAAAGTCTGCATGGGCTGCATTGCTGAAACTTCCCTTGCACTGAGGGGTCCGGGGAAGCCCAGAACCGGAAACAGAGCCTTCTGGAAGCTCAGGGAGAAAGCACGTAAAGACCTGGATCAGAGCGGGAAGCAAAGGGGGGGGGGGGGCGTGGAAGGTGGGTGACAGAGGCCTGTGCAGGAGAATTGTTCTTTGGTCCCTGCCGTATGGTCCCCTCCGATGGCTGGGTGACAGTGTTGAGTGCACTGGAGGTTTGCAGGGCTGTGAAATTTTCCACTTGGCTGTCTGCCGATCCTGCCCACCGAGGATAACACTTCCATACACACATAAGTGGCACACGAGGCCCTGCTGGAGAGGACTGGAGGATTTTGTGTTTGTTTGTTGCTTTTAAAGAAAAGCCCTATTCATATCCTGATCCTTAATATTTTCCACACCTGGATTTCTTGATTTTTTTTTCCCCCTCCTTGAAGACAGAGCCAGGAACAGCCCTGCCTGGGCCAACATGATCAAGTTATTTCGACTCGTGTGTTCTTGAGGAGCATGCTTGGGGTATGGGAACTTATGTGACGGGCTCTGGGGATGGTGAGAAACACAGAATATAAGTGCTACGCTAGCGCCCTGTTTGCTTCCCAAACAAATCATCCACGAGTTCCCTTTCAAAGCAGCAAAGCACATGCCCAACAAAGGTGGGAGGCTCAGGACTCGCACTGTGGGTGTAACCCTGTTTTCGAGGGGAAAATGTGGTCCTGATCTCCAAAAAAAAACCCCGCAAAAATGAATTAACAGCAAATCTTCGATTTGGAATTGGTAAGACACTAGCAAGTATACCTCAAAATAACTGAAAAACGGAGAGAAGAAAATTAGAACGGAGAGAAGAAAATTAGGACCGAAGGAAGAAAGGAGGAATCTGCTACGAATATAGTTAACCAGGGCTTTTACAATGAATACAGTTTACAAAGTGCTTTCTTCTTTTTTTTTTATTGAGGTATAATTGAGAGACAACATTATATTAGTTTCAGCTATACAAAGTGCTTTCATATTCATTCATTCATTCATTCATTCATTCACTGGACAAATTTTTACTTGGTGCTTCCTATATTCACCAGGTTCTATGTTCATAATGGTGAACAAAACAGCCAAGGACCAGGCCTTTAAGGAGCTCACTGCATCAAGAGGAGCAGACAAGACCGAATCAGTGTATACCATTTGTAGTCCATGTGTGAAATTTGCAAATCGGATAGGCATTAGGAAGGAAAAAGAAACACTGTGATTTGCGATCCTATTGGGAGGACCACACTCCCAAGGAGGGGCTTCAGAAGGCTTTTCTTACAAAATGACCAAGTGAGAGAAGTTCGGCAGGTAGAGAACACGGCCTCTGTGTGATGTGATCTGATTGGACGTGGACAACTAGTTTCTGGTATTTTATCTTCTTTTTTTTTTCTTCCTGCCCATTTCAACTGGGTCTCCTTTATCAAGAAATGGGCCACACAGCTGTTCTCAATACCTTGAAATAAGAGAGGATTCTTCTTCCCAATTGCCAGAACATCAGCACAACAAACACTAGTAATTTCTGCTAGAGGAGCACGGTTCGATGCAGGTATTATACTTGATATGACAGGAGAGGAAGCCCCTGCTTTCCTAATGCATCTCACGTCACCCCGTCATCACGGTGAAAGAAAAGGAAGCTCTCTGTTAACACCTGCAAGCCACAGCTGGAGTTAAGAAAACCCTCCCCCAACCCCCCAAAGGGCTAAAAACAGATCACATTACATGTAAACTTCTGCAAAAAAAATCTGCCTAGTGCCTTGCAGTAGGTTCCAAATTTGCTGGCTTCCTCTTTACTATTAAGATGTTTTTATTATTTTTCTCTTGGACTCCAAACAGCCTTTATGTCCCTGTCCTGGGAGCCTTCTCATTTGGTTCTCGCTTTGGTTACCTGTTTATTGACCCAGGCAAGCAGCATGGTGCAAAGCAATAAAAAGCAATGGAAATGTTGCGTTCACCTGAAGTGTTTTCTTGTCCCCTATCATCCCCGATCTGGTACAATGTAATCCTTCCGCTAAGGAAAATCAGCTAATTCGCTTTCTTCATCCTACAAAACGAAGGCATCCTCAGACAGGTTCATTCATGTCCTCCCCGCGAATGAAGTAAGTCTGAAAGTCTGTCTGAAACAAATACGCCAAACTTCTACTTGAGTCTTGTCCCCATCTAAAGACATCCAGGACAAAACGTAATTTCCCCTCCAGGTTTCTCATATAACCAAAGACATTAATAATACTTCAAGTTCAAAGTCCCAAAACACAACTCCTCGCTTTGACATCGCGGTTTTGACAAACTTTAGCAAACTGGGAAAGAAAAGAGAGAGCAGGAAAAACGTCTTCTTGAATCCAAGCGGCCACAACCCCCGCCATCAGACTTGGGAAATGATACCAGGCTGACCGTTTCATCCTCTGGTCCGGAGAAGAAAATGACACAATACCAATTTCTTCCCCTGAATGCCCACAGCACTTACAGTCTCGACCACACATTTTGCCTCGAGGTCCTTTTCAATTCAGCACTCCATTATACTGCCTTTCTATACTCCACTGGATTTACTTAAGTCTTGAAGGTTCAAAAAGTTTATAAGCTCCTTGATGAAAGAAACCTTGCCGTGCCTTTCTTTTGCAGTCCCCTCACAGCGTCTAGTAGGAGAGCCTGCATTTAAATTAAATGATCCATATCCAAAACCTGTTCTACGACTTAACCCTTACTCAAAGGAATGACTATTCTATAGCTATCATCTAAGCCCTTCCCACCTGTCTCCATCCTCCGGGATCCTGTAGCTCCTTTGATGACTATCATCCACATGAAAGCCCTCCGTGAAGGGGAGAACAACTAAGTTACAACTTCGCCTTCTCTCTTTTGTTCTTCCAACCCATTACATTTGGAGTCATTAGTGGCTTTTCAACAGTTGCCATATATATCTTTGATTCTCAGAGCTTTCCCAAGCCACTGTTTTAAGGAAACCCTGGTGGTGTGTGGAGGGGAGATGTGGATGCTCTGAGCCAGGGGCTCTTGAACCTGAACCATTATCAGAAAAATCTGGAAGTCGGGGCGCCTGTGTGGCTCAGTCAGCTAAGCATCTGCCTTTGGCTCAGGTCATGATCTCAGGGTCCTGGGATCAAGCCCTGTGTTGGGCTCCCTGCTCAGCGGGGAAGTTTGCTTCTCCCTCTCCCTCTGCCCCCCCACCCCTGCTGCTTGTGCTCTCTCCCAAATAAATAAATGAATAAATAAAACCTTAAAAAAACCTGGAGGTCTTATGAAACACCTGGAGGTCACAGATGCCTCCCTCCCCCTCTCCCCAATTTCTCATTCATTAGATCTGTGGTGGGGCCAGAGAACTTGCATTTCTAACAAGTTCCCAGGGATTGCTGGTGCTGCTGGTCCAAGGACCACACTCTGAGAACCACTAAAGGTAAACCTGCTCTAAAGGTAAGCCTTTCGGTCAATGACCTAGCCAGACAGAGGCTAAGAATCTTATGGGTATATTTAGTCACTCTAAGATGGCTACATTGGAAAGAGTAACACCTGTCTGGTCTAGAGAGGTGGCAAATGGCCACATACCTTATACTCTGGGGGAAATTTTTGTTGCTTTAGTGTTGGGCTCTTGTCTGCTCTCCCCCTACTGGCTCCAGGTCCTGTTGGGGTCAATTCCGCCCTTCATCTCTCCATCAGTCTTTTTCTTCTCTGCTAGAAACTTCTCGGCAGAAACACGCTCAGCCACTGCCATCCCTAGGAGACCTTCCCCAGACTCTGTTATGTTCCCAAATAGCTGTGGCCTCTCTCCTGTTCACTAATGAACGTGTAAGTGTCGTATAAATTCATTGCTGGTACCGTACCAGGCACAGCTTAACCTGCCTCCTAAAAGCAGCGGCCTTTCCCTACCTGACTTCTCTTCTACTCTTTGGTTATGGCTCCTCAACAGTTCCTTCAATTTCCTTTTACTTTTATTTAGTGGACTAGCATTTCTGCCTGAACAGTATCTTTCCGGAGTGACCTCTCCCCCATTCTTTTGTTACCAGGCTGGGGTGACCTCACGCCTTGGGTGCAAAGACAGGCACATGACCTAGTTCTGGAAGATTAGAATACGTATCCCTTTCACTACGATGACTGCATTTAGGGACAGGCACATAACCAAAGCCCATCGGAGGCCTCTCTCAGATGGGCTGGAGCATGAAAGTGTGGTCTCGTAAGAGCTGTTTTTACTCCCTTGTGAGGAAAGCCCACTTGAGAATGAGGCTCTCTAATGGGGAGCAAAGCTGAAAGACGGAAGTCTGAGTCCTGATGACAGTGAGATGCCTTGGACCCAGCCATGCCAAAAGTGAGATTTATCCCTGGATTTTTTAGTTACGTTGTGAGAGACAAAAATCCACA